GCAAGCAAGTTTCATGTGTTTACCGGTCAGGCATATCAGGGGAACACTTCTCAGCAGTCACAGAAACTTGAAAGGATACCTGTTGATTATTAGAAGYATAAGGAAATATATTCTGAAATTGCAAATACATTGAAATTCCCTACCGTTTCACCTATTTTCACGTCGGTACAGATTTTGGTGTTGTTGTAGGTYTTATCACTGTAATGACAAATGATCACACYGTAAACACTAAGTTAGAGCAATATCTTAAGTATGGTCCAAAAAGATGTGTGGATGTCTTACGGGCAGATGGCTGTGTACTCAATGCGAACTCCTGCTGTTGAGTTGTCCGAAATGGTTTGTGTCTTAGCGATTTTCTAAAAAAAATCAAATAAGAAATTGGAATGGGATCTTCCTAGCAGTTAACATTGGGTTCTCTTAGTTTAATACCTCATATTGTTCCCTTATAAGAGTTACAATGTTTGATCCATCTGCACTCAGCTGAGCAGCTACTGCAAAGCTTTCTTCACCGAGAAATTTTACCACTTCCTAAAGACAACGAAAAACACGATTAAATTCGAGGATATACAGAAAGACTGTTATAGCGTCATGATTCGTACATCATAAATGGGCTTTTGGTTCTTGGAGATAGCGAACATCGGAACCACTTGATTCTCCAGTAGAACGTGACGCAGCTGACCAAGAGAAGGATAATCCTGTTTTAAAATATAAATATTAGTCAGTTTACATGGTGCATGTTAGACTGTCTCTATGGTTCCCGTGTATAGACACAGTATGAACACAGTTACTATTTGACATACCATTAAAGTCGAYGCCACATATTCATTATTCGATACATGGCATSTACCATCATTTGGTAAGACAACACCACCAAGCTGAAAAAGTTAAACCTTTATTAATTCGGTAGCTTTTCAAAATACAATTAAGTATACTCACCAGTCCATCTCCTGCAAAGTGATAAGAAGCATCTGTGGTAAAAACAACCAGTCGTCGAGCTGATTCTTTCTTATCCCAACCAATGTCCTGGAAGCATTGCACACACAAAACATTTTATACTGAATTGCCCAATGATTGACAACAGATGTGAATGAACCAATGATGATGAAAACAATTATTTACCTTGTGACAAACGGCCACTTGCACAAGTGCATCCATTCCACCTTCTGGATTATCCACATTACCTGAAATGTTTTGTTCTGCGACTTTGCTCTTTAAAAGAATGAATATCATAAGGTTGATAGGCAACTGGTGAATAATATGGTGATAAGGTTTGACTGAAGGAGGGTGGAGTTTTGGGCAGCAAGATTTGAAACAAAACTATTGGCACAAAATTTACCAATTCACAACTTTCCATACTCAGATCCTGTGACCATGAATAAAGCATTGAAGCGAGGCATCAAGGTACACAACTCACAGATCTTTTTGTTTATGCTCACTTTACCTTGACACCTCGGTTAAATGCTTTGTTCGTGGTCACTGGAACTCTGTATGGAAAGTCGTGTAGTAACATTCTGTCCCTCTAAGAATATCAAGAGCCAATTGTGTTTATGCTAGGGAATTTGTTTAAGAGTGATCTTACTTCAAATTTTGAGGTGTTTAAATCCAAAGGAAGGCTATTTCTGAA